AATCTGTAGATTCCAGGATTCAACTCTCCCTATTCGAAATGGAAGCGTGAAAGACCGAATCATTCTCCCATCTCCTAGGTATTGTTCGTTTTTCATTTTGGCAGAGCTTGTATACCAACGAAGTTCGCCTAACTATCTGTACATTATATTAATATTATTAAATTCATATATCTGCTATTGCTATTGAATTTCTAATGTTCACCCTGTATATGAATACTGAACTTATTTTCGTGTCCACATTCTCACGTTTCACTATTTGTGAAAAATATCGCGGCCACTATGCGACTTCAACTCTTCAAGACAGCGTTGAGGAGCAAATGATGAATATATTAAAAAATAATTTGGGAATTTCACCGAGTTAATCATGAATAACAGGGTGATTTCAAAAAACACGATTTTTTGTCATTTTCATCATCGAAAATCTTTATGATCACCCTATATATCTCCACGAAATCATGTTCATACGGTATCAGCTATCTTGGGAGGTTAACAATTCACTCGAATATATAGGATGTGTATGAATAAATCGGTCTTAGGTGTCACCAATTTTTCAAATCACCCTGTATGAAATGTATGAATTGTGATTCATGATGGAATGAGAATAGTATATCGCATGTCCAAATTATTTTTTCGATATTTCATTATAACATCGAATTTTCAGACATCACTGAAATGTTTATATGTTTCACTCTGTAAACAATTACATTATCTGAATCATCTGAATTATGTTGAGTAATATGGAGGTTCGTTGATGATATCAGCGAAGAAAATTGTACTTGTATGTCATCTATGAATTTCGAGAAAATAATTAAATGAAAAATACCGATTTGTAACTTCAACGTCCTGTATCTCAGAATCTGTTCATCAAAGAACTTTACGATTCTGCAGGTTCAATCAGTTCATCGAATTCTACAACATACTCAAAATTCAGAAAATTTCACCAAGAACCATTTTACGTACTAAAAGTGCGGGGTTCTTAGCCTCGCTCTCCGATGAACTCTACTTAGAGCTGGACCTCGAGCAGCAATTCTAGGTCTCAAATTATGTTCATTTAGTGGCTGACGAATAGTATTTGTTCAAACTTGTTACAAAAACGTTGTCTTAATGTAGAAAGTCTTGAAAATCGATCCTGAATCGGAGTTGTTATTCGAGACCTCCCCTGTCCTGGTCTGCGACCATTTATACTCAGCATCTCTTTGTCTTTGTATGACTCTCAAAACGGTTGTGTTACCTAATTGGAATAATCGTTAGAATGAGTTTCTACGGTCCAACCTTCCTCAAATTTCAATGTTCCCGTGCAAAATTTTGCGATTTTTGCTGTTCGCAGAACAAGGACCATTTCTGGTTCTTCATAATGGCCATAGCCTGCTACCGATGTGCTTGTTATATACTAGTTAAATCCAATAAAATCATGTTATGTTTTGAATTGTTGTTTCTGGAGCAATAGAAGAGATGATAGAATGAATCTAGAAAATGAATGCTGAAAAAATTTAAGGCTAAAGTGTGATTACAATTCTGACTTGATAATGAAACTGTTGCACACACTCGGTATTCATTAACAGAAGTTTTTGTGCAAATACAGCGTATACACACCATTGTTCAGCAGGAGCTAACATGTCATTCAGATACGATTGCTTTTGACAAAAGCTACCTCAAACTTTTGGGTATTTTTTTGGGGTGCGTTAATTTCTGGCAGGAGTGCAGGAGTATCTCTTCTTTTTATACAATGAAAAATAAACATATTACTTACAAATTTTATTCGAATATAGATCTCAATAATTTACATCATACAAAAGGAAAATCTTTTGAAAAATTCTCGTCATGGTCAACTCATAGTTGCTAATATTCGATGATCAACTAGGTATACATATTTTGGAATTAACAGTCGATAACTGAAGAATGATTTGACATCAAGGTATATGAAGATGGTCCTCAATGTCGAGGCAATAATTTCAACAAGACTCAGAACTCGTAGGTATAGATAAGTATTGTTACCAAAAATCACCTATGTATGTAAGAACAAAGTACTTACTGATATAATATCATGAATACTAAAAAATTCCTGGATATGTAGATATTTTTTGAATGGCACATAAGTATTTTTTTGGCAACCGTCCGAGAAGTGCTGCTCACTTCCCGGACCCTTTTTTTTTAGTACGTGATACTTCCCGGACTAGGCCGGGAAGTATCACATCGTTGTCGTCACTGTAACTATGAAAATTTTTCTAGAGATGGTTTTGATAAATGCAGATGATAATTACCATAGCAGCGAAATATCGGCTGACAGCTATTTGACATGAAATCAATTGACATTCTGATTTTTGAAAGTTTGGTTGCAATTATCGCAATAAACTGTCGAAACCGGCTACGATAGCGAGTTTAAAAATGTCCATACGGAATTTCCAATGTAGAAGTTAGTAGGTATAGGTATTCTGTTAAAATTTCAGTATTTTATACAAATGTTATATGGAATGTGTCTCATTGATTTGTTATTATACAGTGTTGCGGCGAAAATAGTGCACGCAAACGTCCAAAACAGTTTTTTTGGACTCGCAGACTTCCAGGACTCGCCTACGGCTCGGCCGAGAATTCAATCTACTCGTCCAAAAAAACTGTATTTTCTGGACTTGTCATACGTAAATTACTATTTCGAATCACCAGATACCACGAGATTTTGGGCAAGCACTTCAAAAAAATCGTGAACCAAAGTATCTCAAGAAGCAACGAGAAGAGAATACTGAAATATTTCTGCTACCACTGAATGAACTTGATTAGTGATAAGGGAAAAGTGAATTACATGAATAAATACTTGGACACAAGGGAATACGAGTGAAAAACTGTTCGTGCATTTCAATAAGTGATTTGAAATTATTCCTTGATGCATGATGCATGCGACTATGAGAAATTATTATTGATTCAACTATATACTATGACAAATTCCATTTTATTATGTTTATCAATCTGCAAATTTTTTATAGGTGATTTTGTAATATATTCTAATTTTACGAGTTATTAATCATGTTGAAATGAATAACATAAAACCCTGTAAATCAGAATGAGAATAAATCTGATTGAATAAATAGTAAATAGTATAGGATTGGAGCGAGTACTTTCTAAGGTATATCTATAATTAAAAACAAAGTCACTTTCTATTGATTATTCACTGAGTATAGTTGTATTCTCCTCTTCAGCCAAGAAAAAAAAATCCGATCATGTAGCAAATACATTCATAACTCAAAAGTGAAGCTCTGAGAATATCAGATTCCACTATTGAATTCACTATACAAACACTGGATAAAATTAATTTACGAACCTGTGCCAAATTTCATATAACAGTTTTCTGCATAGCCGCATTACCTCAACTAACGAGGCCAATAGAATACTATGAAAAGTAGTCATAAAATTTTCATTATCGAATGAGATAATGTGTCAGGCAATTGATTGGATGGTTATTGAGAACTGTTGGTAAGCCGAATTAAAATATTCAAATGTTCAACTTCTGAGACTTGAGGTGTATCGCCGTATATAGATATAGATAGTAGTAAGTTAGACGCTCGACCAGTGAACATCGACATTCAGTATTTATGATAACAGCTCAACAAGTGCTGACTGCTAATAAATATTGTCCTCAATAATTGGCGATTCTATATGGATATGTACCATCGACCATTCAGATACTCATTAAACATCGAGCTTTTAGGTATGATTGTGAAATCAATTAACTAGTCATTACATGAGCTGGTACACTAGAATGGTCAAATGTAGATAGATATATATACAGTGCGATACGAACAGTTAACTATGGCGATCCTTTCAACCTCAAGGAGCTATTTATTAACTTGGACGATTTTCAACTAACAGACTAACAGAGTCAATCAATGTTGCATTCAAAGTTAGTTCTTTCATTGCATGTGAAATTATAGCTTTATAGGCCGGACTCATAGCTTGATTTTATCCTACAACAATCAATATCTTTTGAATAAATGACTTGTAGCCGTAGCAGAAAAACTTTCCACAGCGATACCGCTTACTTTCAGAAGAGTTGACCAATTCAGCTTATCAACGGTTTCCATAAATCCAGCCTTTCACGAAGGTTCGTTTGAAGGTTATCTATCATTGATCGAGACAATACCTAACTCACTGTTCTGACTGTCAAAAAGTTTTGAAGATAGAATCCAATCCAATTCAAATTTGATCTCATTCTGTTTGTGTGCTGAACTTAATTACTTCAATAAGCCTAAATAATGATTATTGACCATCTCAGTTTGATTATATAACTAATATAACCATCTTTGGCATTTTCACTACACTAAACTAGCCAAGAGAACTGGCAATCCTGTAACTTTGAAGAAGTACAACATAGTTTTGCACAAACTCAAAATAATTTTCAATAATGGCTGGTATCGTGAAAATCAACTACGATTTCCAATGAGAACCCGGTAATTCATTTTTGACTTTTCAGGAGTAATGATGATTTTTTATACAGTGGAACTCACCAGTCAGAGTATACATGAATAATTTCCAGGAGAGTCTATGGCTAACCGAATTATTGAAAAAAAAAAATGAAGCAAACTTCCGAGATACTATGTTCTAGTTACCTGCTTCAAATCGAAATGAAAGATTAACTGTTATAATTTTCAAATTCAATTTTATACGACTTAAAAGTTACCAGTAAATCCCAGTTCTTGTTGACAATCAATACTTATACACAGTAGGTACTTAATTATTATTATCACATAAAATTCGAATATAAATTCCTTCGAGCATATCATCAAATTAACAGCTACACATGAACATGAACACCCAGAATATATATTTTTTTAAAGGAAGAAGAGTTGATACAACCCGAGATCAAAGAAATCCAGTGGTAGCTGCAATAGGATGATGCCTCAAAATTTCAATTAGTTATACTATTAATATCTTCTGGAAACATCTTTCTTCTGATATTCACAGAATTCAATATATCTACTTATACATATAATGGATACAATGAGAATTAATCATGTTATTTGTGTTTTATTAGGTGAATGACTAACTGCGTTATTTTTCAGATAGGAAACTGACAAATTAAGATTCTTTGACTGGGGGGGCTGGGTCTGCTGTGAATCTAGGATACTATTATATTTACACTTCAAAGTATCAAGATAAGCCCTCCTATACTGCTTATTCATAGTCACATAAACTACTGGATTCACACAACTTGATAAGTAAATCAACAAATAACTCAAAACATGTAGCGGAGCATGTTCTATATCCTGATCGAATACTTTAACAATTGTAATAGGTAAGTAACATACGTTGAAGCAAATGAATATTACCAGCACCATCTTAGTTATCTTCATTTCACTTTTTTTGAATTTATTTCCTGTACTGTGCTGTTCGAGTTTTTTGTGGGATCTCCGTACCACCCAATATATTTTAGCATAACATAATACAATTACGATACATGGTGCGGCATATCCTATGACAAATAAAGCTGTTTTTGAGCTGTGACCATATTTATCTGTTGTTATAGAACAAGTACCGAGCTTTTCATCCATACCAAATACACCCCACTTTCCTAAGAGGGTAGGGATCTGCAGTCCATAACTGAAAGCCCATATGAATCCTATATAGATGCAAACTTTCGTTTTTGTGTATATCGTTTGATATAAATGCGGCCAAGCTATGAGAATGTAACGGTTTATGGATATAGATCCAATACTTAATAGTGAAACTCCGACGGACGCATATCTTAGAGTTGGAACCATTTTGCATAGCATTTCTCCATGTATCCAAGTACCATGGAAGAACTGGCTGGCTGAGAATGGAAGAACAAGGAAGCAGAACATCAGATCCGAGATGCAGAGGCTGTGAAAACAGAATATCATAGTGAGTTACATGAATGTAGTAGAATAACTATTGAACCGGGAGCCCGGGTGTTCAGCAACCCCGAATAGGTAAACATAAAAATAAGAGAGGTAGGTATAGCAGAGGTATTAGAGTTTGCAACAAACACATCGAGTTTATCACTCAGAATCAAATGTGATTTTTCCATAAAATTCATAGACTCTTGAAATACTGGGAAAGAATCAGAAAAACAATACAGTAGAGTAGGAACCAATACACTAGGCATTACGCCATTATTATTACCACAAAACTGTTGTTTTTCTTCTCAACAACATTAATGACATGCCACCGTGAATCACGAACTAAAACAAAAGGTGCTGATTTGTATTATTGATTAACTGTCAAAATCACTCCAGACAATTGTCCAAGCCTGCTATTTTATTTTAAATAATCGAGGGTGACCAGTATTTTTCTGCCGGTAGAAGTGAAGTGTCAATCGACAGCAATTTTCGAAGGAAAGTATACCGAGAAAACAATGTGGAAATAAGCCATATTGATTTTGAGTTTTTTTTTTTTTTGAGTTGTCGATCGATAAGTTCATGTACGTTATGATGATTGTTAATAAAACTTGAATAACTCCATACTTTCTCAAAGCCCTCGTATCTTTTCTGAAAAATGAGATATCGACGTGAATCAAAAACTATTGTGATGAGAAAAGAATACTCTTCAATCCAAGACATAATGAAGAGCAGTTCCACCACTCACTTCAGCTACAGGGCGTTAAGAAGTTATGGGTAAATGAGTAACTCTTGTTTTTCCCTGTATAATGACCAAGCTATCAGCTTTTTTGGGAATTCATATTCAGGTTAACATTCCGGAACATAAATCCACGATTCGATCAAAATTTCAACAAAATCCGACAAAAACTAAAGAAGTTACAGGGCGAACAACTTGACTACATTTTTTGGTGGCCGGTTTTTTTTGCCGGTGAGTGTATTATTCATATGCGATTTAGCCTGCCTCAGAAGATATATATTTATCTCGGAGGAATATCATTTACTTCACGATTCATTGGCACTTCATCATAAGAAACTTTTGTTATATCTTCCCTATTCGCCACTGAAGATTGTTTAGAATTTTTTTCTATTCAATTTTTTCTCGATTTTTTTCTTCAGAAACACTGACTATAAGGTACGTACCTATCACCCACTACAGTGACTATTACAAAAAACTAACATTATGTTATTGAGAGATCGATGAGAAAGGAATGAAGAACTGTTGCGAGTTTTATAGGGTGGATAATATAATTGAAAAGTAGAAATGAATGAAATGATAGGAACCCACACAGCACTTTTCAATGTCAATACCTTTAAGCACTTTCAACCACCACGTTTGATGCACAATTAGACTCAATGACTCATACCAAGTACTAGATAATGTAGAAACAAATCATCGATTTCAGGAAGAAGTTTGAAAAAAAAACTCCTCCTGTATGTTTCGTACAGTCTCTCTGTCATTGCAGTTTTTCTTGAAATCAATAATATATTTGAATGTGAATCCAGCAACTCCTCCAGAAAAAACAGCCTGTCGAAAAAGAGTCAAAATCTGAGTGATGCACTGAGTGGGCATCCAAAACAATTTCATATGACAAAATGACTACCAGAATTCATGGTTGAAAGCTGTGAATATTCCAGCGTTGAATGATCGAATGGAGAATAACGTATTCCTCATTAGATGAACCATTATATTTTCTGGGTCACTCGTGAGATAATGGAGTGTTACATGGGCATGAAGAAGTATGATGGATGGCCTCAAAATGGATTTGTGATTCGAATCGAAGAGTATCATATACAGGGTTTTTCGTGACTCGACGCTCATAGCTTCAGGGCATTTTTTTGGAACAATTACAAGTCGAAAATGTCTTTAACACCTTTGTCCAAAACTCTATAGTTGAGGAGTGAAGGGCAATATAAAACAGAGTGGTGATAGAGCAAAGTGTATGTAGAATTCTTCATTCTACCCTCTTCGGGTAATGCGATATTTTCTGAAACAAGAATTCTTTGATTACTTACACAAATTCAATCAATGTTTTTTTCAAAATTTAACCCTTTCCCCCGCTTCTTCACATTCTTGCTCGTCTAATTATTGAAACCGTTGCTCTTTGGAGATATCTCAGTCGCCTTTAATGGATGCAGCTGTAGTCATAATTTGCAATCCACTGGTGAGGTTATATTAAATTGCTCATAACTTCTTAACTATTGAGTCGAAATAAAAAGTGTACATATATAACACTTTCGACTTGAAATTGTTTAAGGAATATGCTCTTGAGGTAAGTATAAATAAGGTATCTTCAACCAATAGGATGCGTTCTCAATATGATGAATTGGGCAATTAACGAAATTTGGATCATAATTCCAGGAATATGAGATTTATTTTCAGTCTTGATGATGCATATATAAGGTGCGATACAAAAATATAGATTATTCCGGGATGATTGAAAATATTTTTAAAGATGATGCAAATTGCTATGTTCCGAATAAGAAATACAGTGTCGGTCATTGTCGGAAATTGTGGAATATATAAATACAGAAACTCCTCATGGGGCTTATACAAGGGAATATGATAGAGAATTCAGAATTACTATTGATTCGACAGAATGTTTCTCATAGTAATAACTCTATCAGTGGCAAGAATCCGTGAAAAAAAATTCCTAGAGGGGCAACAAATTTTATTCACTTTCAAAGCACGAAAAAATGGCAGAACCAATGATTACATGATGTTGGAATCGTTTTTTCGGATTTTGATCTCATGGTTTTTTGAAAAATTGATGGTATATATTTTGTACCACCGCCCACTAACGGACATCATTGTTTGTTGTGGAAATCTTGAAAACATGATTTCTTCTTTCCTGAACATGGTGGTACATGACATACAGAACATATCCTATCTGTACGACTTTGTTTTCTTGATTTGCTGCAATGGGCGAAATGACGTCTTGTAGCCTTTTTGGTAATTATGGTTGATGAGCGCTCTCAGTTGTCCTTATTTCGAAAGGTACATGCGGTTTCGACTGTTTGATTTCAATAGTTCATGGAAACAAAAATGGTCTCTTCCTATTGACGATTTTTTTTGTCACCAGAGAAAGCACTATCTGCCTTCATTGATACTTTCTCTGAGTCCGATTGCTTATAAAGAACGAAAGCATTGACAATAGCCGCGTCTACTGAATAAAAGGAGATGCGATGCCACGATTTCTTCGATTTACGATCAATTTTATATGTATCGCGAATTTAATCAAATTTATCTACAAAATTCATATTTTTGTTGTAATCTATCAAAGCATTCGGACGAGACATGTGTACAGTGCTTCCATCCTTATTGTTCTATTGGTCAAAATGGCCCATACTAGTAGGATTGAGGAAGTAGGAAAACATGAACTGAACACTACGATTGTCTCCCACTTCATGGCAACGAGGCGTGTATCAGATAATAAAATCTGAAATTCGCCACGTTTCAAAATCTGATGAAGTTTGATATTTGGAAGCATGGGTCTTCTGCTTGGGTTGACTGTGCCACGAGCGTGGATATTTGTGGTCTTGAGGTCTTTTCACAGCTCTACACTAGTAAAAACTGTCAAAATAGACAACGTGAGATTTTTCTCTATACCTTCCAGTGAATATTCAACAACTTCAGCACCCTCTAGATTCTCTTCGTATCTTCGGATTTCATGGTATAAATATGGAATTTTTGGCAATTACCACTTTCATTTGCTATCATCTACACTTTGTAGCCCCTCTTGATCGGTTTCTTTGAGAAATACTGATTCAACGTACTCGTTCTTTCGAATTTGATCATTGATTCATTCTTCAGAACGGGCCGCAATATATATTAAGTTTGTCATATCCCGGCTCTCCTCTCTTGGGTACAATTATACAGGGTATTGCGAAACTCGACCTACAACGCTTGACATATGATGAACCTCGTCATTTCATAATCACTGAAATAGAAACATACGGTCTTCAAATGTTAAGTTCTCAAAGTACAGGGTATCGAAGTTGAACAATGAATTCAAGATAGTGCAAATAATCGGAATACTATCAGTTGCGAACCACTGGATAAAATAATATCTGGAATCACTTTCTGGTCAAAGAATGACCCATTCGGAGATAAAACCATACCTCGAATGTAATTGCCAAATATTCAATCATTCTTGATTCATCACGAATAATCTATTTTTATTCCTCAAATTTAACACCCTGTTTCTCGAGAACTGAACACTTGAAGAACTTATATCCCTCACTCAGTTATTATGAAATGACGAGGGTAAAGCACTGCACGGTCCTGAATTTTGCGGTCCGGCCCACCCCGCATATTCACGAAAGGAGCCCGGCCCGCAGGAACCCGCACGGCATGAAATGTGATGGTGTCCCGCAGTTTATGAATGTTCGGCCCGCTCCGCACTGCGCGGCGCTTATGGTTATTCTGACCCGCCACGCGAGGCCCGCACGGCCCGTTAGGCTCCTATGGCCCGTTAGACCCGTTAGACCCCTACGGCCCGTTAGGTCCGCACGGACCGTTGAAAGATTGAAGTGGATTAGATTTATTTATCATTTTTCATTTTTATGAATTGACAGAAACTTTATTAAAAAGTCAACGTTACTTGATATCATTGAAACAGGTAGGTAAATGAAGGAAGTAAATATAAAATGAACATAGATCGTTTCAGAACCCGCGGGACCCGCACGGCCCGTGGAACCCGCACGGCCCGCGGGATCCGCACGGCCCGCGAGACCCGCACGGCCCGCGGGTCCTTCAAGGCCCGCGGGACCCGCACGGCCCGCGGGTCCTACAAGGCCCGCGGGACCCGCATGGCCTGCTTCGCAGAATTTTCAGATCGCATCTAGTCCGCGTTCAGCCCGCCCCACAATACATTGGGCCCGGCTCGTGTTGAAGTAATATTCTATGTCTAAAAACGGCCTGCCTTGCCCCGCATGCGGCATGGCCCGGCCCGTGCAGAGCTC